AGACACCGTAAATACATTCGAGCTGTTTTTGTGCTCTTTTTTTGAGGGTTAATGAGAAGTACATCATCAATGCTTTGAAATGTAATTTTTCCTAGTTCTCACTGTTTTTTTTTTGTTTTGTTTTTTGTTTTTTTTTTTTGAGAGGTTGTTTTTGCTATAGGGCGCATGCGCTTGCTAGAGAGATAGAGACAGAAAGCAAGAAATTACCCCCCCCACCCAGGGGGCATGGCCACTTTGCAATCCCTTTTCCTCCATTGTCCTCTCGGGATCTTGGGCACACATGTACAGGCGCCCAGCATGAGTTTAAGCCACTGGGTCTGGGACCTGAACCGTGGTCAACTATATGGGAATGCAGCGACATAGCCATTACGCCAACTGCTGGTCCCTAGTTCTCACTGATACTTTAGTGATCTGCAGTATCTTCTCAATACCAATTCCATGATACCCACCCAAGCCCAACTTAAATGTCTACTTACCTAAACTGGCACCAAATGAAACCATTAATGTCTTCATAAATAAGTGCTACTTTTAATAAATGAAAGACACTAAATTGCAAATATATTTTTAACTGCATTTAACTGAATTCTAGTAACATAAATGCAGCCATTTTAGCCATTTCAGCAATCACAATATACTAAAGTATTTTTCAAGCAGAATTAAAAGCATTGTCAGTATCAATTCAAATCTATTTCTGAATTGAATTATGCAACTCAATAGCTACTAGATTAAAATCAGCAATGGTTTTCAGAGTTTATTAATTATAGAGTATGAAGTAAATGTAAAAGCTGAAAAACACTCACTATGTTCACTTGCTAATACAAAAGATTCAGGAGTTCTTTCAGGTAGGGGAGGAGGTGAATCTTCACTAACATCAAAATCTAAATTAAATACATAAAAGTTAGAAAAATTATTAAAAACTAACAACATGTCATCGAAACAAAATCAGAGGGCTTTTTTGAAATTCTAAACATTCATATCATAAGTATCTAGGAGAATCAGTTTTAAAAATGCAAAAATAAACACAAAATTATTCAGGTATCAGCACATAATCAATTAATACATCAACAAGGTCTAAAACAAACAAAAAACCCCTAATTCTTGTGCCAATGGTTCTACAAGGTAAGTAATCTATAAAATAAATAGCTTATAATATGAAAAACAAAGAACCTATAAATAACATACAAGGTAAATAATTAACAAGATGGCAAAGATAGGACCACTTGTAATTATGTAAGAGCAAACATCATTTATACAGGAAAATCTTTTTGTTTTGGATAGGTTTTCACTATAGGGCACGTGCGCTTGCCAGACAGACAGAGAGAGACAGGGAAAGCGAGAAATCACCCCCCAGAGGGGATGGTCACACCGCAATCCCTTCTCCTCCATTCTCCTCTCGGGATCTTGGGCATGCACGCACACGCGCCCGGTGTGAGTTTTAAGCCACCAGGTCCGGGACGCAAACCGCGGTCGACTACGTGGGAGGTCCAGTGACATAGCCATTACGCTAACTGCTGGTTCCCTATACAGGAAAATCTTCAGTGAATATCAAACTAACAACATAGTTAGGGTAGGATGGAAAAAAAAGGAAAACAGAAATCACATTTACAGCTATCTTTGCTTTGAAATGTAAACAAAAACAAAAGAACAGAAATGAACTGGTATATATCAGGTGCTTTCAACTACTCCTGTAACAATATGTATAACTTTAAAAAAATTATTTCTGTTATCACCAAAAGATTGGTCATGTGATGGTAACTCTTAATTAGTATATCATATCAAGTATCCTTACTCTCACCTAATTCTATTTCTAGTAATTTTTTAAAAAAACATTTATTTTACTTAACTTTATTTATTATTATTATTTTCCGGTTTGATCTGAGACAGAGAGAGAAAAGTGATAAAGCAAGCTGCCTGGTCTGAGACTTGAACCACAGTCTACCATGTAGCAGTCCAGGGCCTTTAACCACCACACTACCTGCCAGCCCCTATTTGTAGTAATTTTTTAAAAGAGACAAACAATTTCGAGATACAATATACTATACTAAAGTACAAAAGCAAAATTTCTTGTCTATGTATTTCCTTGTATAGTTTTACAACATGGCAGTTATAGTTTAAGTTGAGGAAGAAAAGATATTAAAAGTTTTAAATTACAGTAAGTAGGTAAGGTAATATTTATCATGCTAGCCAAACTCTTCTGAAGATCCTTCAAATAAAATACAGGAGAATCAAGAAAATAGAACTCTCTAACCTAAGAAACTAGCTTAGAATATCTTCTACTTTACCAGAGACACTCTCATGGCAAAAATAATACAGCGTGTGTGAGCAAGGAAAAATAAAAGCATACCACTATGGGTGGTATTATACTGAGTCCAAAAGAAAAAGTCATCTTTCAAGTTCACACTAGCTTTTTGCCTACGCATTATAAAAACCAGTCTGTATGTGTCACTATCAATTACCAAAGCTAATTAATAGGTAAATGATCACTGATAATACACTAGTAAATGGTTTTTATGTTTATGCATCTGCTTTCAAACTTTATGATCTATAAATGCATCTGTGATTATTTTTAACAGATCAAAGAGGAATTCCAAAAACCACTGATATATTTTGGGAACTGAATGTAAGCATTATCTTGAAATGCTAATAAGACTGCTTAAAGACGAAAGTCATGGGGACCAGCAGTTGGCGTAATGGCTATGTCGCTGGACTCCCACGTAGTCGACCGCAGTTTGCGTCCCAGACCCAGTGGTTTAAAACTCACGCCGGGTGCGTGTGCGTGCCGTGCCCAAGATCCCGAGAGGAGAATGGAGAACGGATTGCGGCGTGATCATCCCCTCTGGGGGGTGATTTCTCGCTTTCTGTCTCTATGTCTCTCTCTGTCTGTCTGGCGAGTGCACGCGCCCTATAGCAAAAACCTCTCCAAAAAAAAAGATTAAAGTCATTAAATAATGGCTTTGATGACTAGATACATATACTCACTACTACATGAGTAGTTTACAGTAATGGTTTTAGGTTAACTCAGGGTTGAAAGCAACCTTTTTTGCAAACATTTGTGAAGAAAATGTTAAAAAAAAAAAAGCATTTTGTAGTTAAGAGAACAAAAATTTCTGTTTATGAGACATGCATGAATTAAATGACCAACCAAACTATTCTGCAACATTTGTGTCACTATTACTTTAAGTGACTGAATCACCTCCAATTACTATAGATCCAATTATTTTGTCAGATACATTTTTGACCTACACAAAACACTAAAGGCTGCAATATGGTAGAAAAAGTTAAAAAAAAAAAATTCTAGTTACAACTTAAATATTTTAGAACCTAGTAATACAATGTAATAAAATTAAGGTAATAATAAAAGCTTATTTAAAAAATTAGTATATAAGACAACTAATTTTTGCTGTAGGTTTTAGACTACAGTATGAAATAAAATATACTGAACTAATACAGCTTAAGTGTTTAAAACAGTGACTGGCACATAGTAAAAAGATATTTAAGTGTTAGATACTGTTTTATTACCTTTTTCAGCACCTGAATGTATTGTTCCTGTTACATCATGCCTAGCAATGGACATTGGTAATACTTTCCTAGTAGAAATGCTTTCAGTGCTAGTGGCAGCAGAAACCGTGGCACTTGCTGTTGATATATTAGTTTTATTCTTGGTCACAGCACCATCAGAGTTCCTTTCATCTGAGTCTGAGTCATCAGAGTGAAGAGGATTGGTAAAACTGAGGGGTGCACTGAATAGAGGTGAACTGTTATGATGATCTATAAGATCACGGGTTTCAAACTGTGTTGTAGGGCTTGGTGTTGAACTCACAGTTTTCATAGTTTGGCAGTGCAAATCTGAGGATTTGCCTTCAGATGAATCGGGTTTGGGTATGGCATTTTCAGGTCCATGAAATGACCATATTACATGTCCTTTCTCGTCAAGAGGCAAGTGGTCTGGCCTTGGAGGTGTGTCTGAATTCTTCTGAGAGTCTTCTGATGGAGTAACTGGAGCTCTGTTTAACTGTGTCACACTGCAGTCCACACAAGAATTCTGAGAAATATTATCAACTTTTCGATCCTTTGAACTTAACTCTTGTGGTTTAGAGATTTTATCAATTATACAAGGTGAAGAAGATTTAATTTTGATTGCATGGCCCCTATTCAAGAGTGTGTTTCCATCAAAACTTTTTGGTCCCTCTTGGAGAGGGACCTTCTTAATTTCAAAACTTAAATTTCGCTCCAATTTTTTATCTATGTGTTCAATAGTTGATTCATTTTTTCCTGGAAGTTCTGACGATTTATTATAGTTTCTGTTGAGGTCTGTTGAATGTTGTTCTGAGGAAACCATGTGCAACACTGGCTTTGGATGGTATCTGTCATTATCCTGCCACACAGTAGTGACTGTTGGAAAAGCTGAAGGGGGAGAAGGCGTCAAGATGGGTGGCACAGGGTGAGGCTCTGGTGGCTGCAGTATTTCTTCCTTAGCATCTCCTTCTACAAGGCAACTTAAAAACAAAAATTAAAAAGAGTTATTTTAGGACTATCTATCCTTTTAAAAATAAGATGGTACTTGACAATTATGTAGCTAAGTCAATGATATTAGAAGCCATTACAGGGAACCAGCAGTTAGCGTAATGGCTATGTCGCTGGACTCCCACGTAGTCGACCACAGTTCGAGTCCCGGACACGGTGGCTTAAAACTCACGCCGGGCACGTGTGCACGCATGCCCAAGATCCTGAGAGGAGAATGGAGAAGGGATTGCGGTGTGGCCATCACCCGTAGGTGGTGATTTCTCACTTTCTATTTCTCTTTCTCTGTCTTTCTGGTAAGTGCACACGTCCTATAAAAATCCTCTAAAAAATAGTTTATATACAGTATTGATATATAACTTACTATAGCTTCAAAAAAATCAACACAAGCAAAATAATACTTCAAAAAAGGACTTTTTTAAACAGAAAAACCAGTGAAGTGAAATAACACCTGTTTTATGTAATACAAATTTCTCCTATTACCTACATTTTTACTTGCTATTTTCCAGGGTCCTGGATAAGCAACAGTCTACTACACTCTGTGGTATTTGAGAGTTCCCCAAATCAGGCAGCTATCAAATGCCTCCATTTAAAAAGACCTTAACTCCTTGTTTTTTTGACCCTGCAAATGCCCTCACCTATCTAAGATATTCTAAGATATGTACCTCTTAGAATATCTTAGTGACCGATCTATTTAAGATGGTGACTGTGGAAATAGAAATCACCTCCACCCTGGATCTCCCACTTTCAGAAGAGGAGAAAACAGAATCTAATCATGAAGTTGTTATCCCAGAACACTGTATTAAACATCCTCTACAGAACAGATGGTGCTCCAGGTTTGTTTTTGTTTTTGTTTTTGAGAGGTTTTTGCTATAGGTCATGTGTTCACCAGAAAGACAGACAGAGAAAGAGAGAGAGAGACAGAAAGTGAGAAATCATCCCTCAGGGGGGATGGCTATGCCACAATCCCTTTTCCTCTATTCTCCTCTCGGGATCTTGGGCACGCATGCACACACGACTGGTGTGAGTTTAAGTCAATGGGTCCAGGACTCGACCCATGATCGACTACATGGGAATCCAGAGACACAGACATTACGCCAACTGCTGGTCCCAAGCACTTCAGTTTTTAAAAAATGATAAAAGCAGAACTTGGCAAACAAACCTTTGACTGATCTTTAAGTGTGATACTGTTGAAGACTTTTGGGTTCTGTACAACCATATTCAGTTGTCTAGTAATTTAATGCGTGGCTATGACTACTCACTTTTTAAGGATGATATTGAGCCTATGTGTGAAGACAAGAAAAACAAATGGCTGAAGATGATGACTAATTACATTGAACAAACAGCAGAGACAAAGTCACCTTGATTGCTTCTGGCTAGAAACACTGCTGTGCCTTATCGGAAAATCTTTCAGTGACTACAGTGATGATGTGTGTGGGGTTGTTGACAATATTAGAGCAAAAGGCAGTAGGAAAGCAATATCGACTAGTGAATGTGGAAACAAGAAAGCTGTTACACTTACAGGGAGGGTATACAAAGAGAGGTGGGACTTTCTCCAAAGATAATGATTGGTTATCCTGCTAAGAGCAACTCCACCACTAAAAATAGGTTTGCTGTTTAAAAAGACAACTTTTAAGTATTTCCATAAGAGAACTGTGTCAAGCAGTTGAGATTTGGAAGTTGAACCAAAGCCTCTTCAAAAGCAGAGTGGACTGCATTTAAATTTGATTTCTATCTAAATGTTGCTAGGATGGAAGAGAAGTCTCATTCACCTTTTTCTTGTACTTTTGTGTTCATTTTTTGGGGGAGGGGATGGATTTTTGGCTAGTGTCCACTTTTCCAATCAAAGAACTACAGTACACTTCATCTGCAGAATCCATAAATGTATTCCTGGCCCACTCTATAATAAACTAGTAGAATTAACATTACAAACACATTTTACCCATCTACAACATGCAGAAAAGAACTTGCATTTCTATACTTCATGGGAAAAATAATATATGTTCCACTGTATGGAAGAGCCTATTTTGTTAGTTGGAAAGACTATGATGCATACAGTTTCTAGCAATTTCATTTCTTTTTTTACAGCACTGTTTGCTGAACTCTTGCTGATGTCTACTAGGTTTTAATTTATTTATTTCCCTACTTAATAATATTAGTGATTCTTATTTCTATTTTTATTTTTGTTTTGTTTTATTTCCTCATGTAACATTGGCGAAGGATCCAGGCATATTACCCAAAAGTACAGTAAACATTAATTTTGTGCATTATTTGGTAATTATTTTTTGTTTTCTGTAACTACAAAGCTTTGCTACAAGTTTATGCATTTCATTCAAATCACTGATCTATGTTTATGTGATTTCCTAAACACAATTGCGGGTAATAAAAAAATGTAACATCATAATTATATTCCTAACCAGAATTAGTATGTCTGTGTTTGTATCTTTAAACTACTTAGGCTATTTTGCTTTGGTTAAAAATTGCTCAAACAGAAAAGCAGTCTCATTCATACTAACACAGTTCACAAAACTGTAAATAAAACGTGTACAGTGAATTATCTTTAAAAAAAAAATAAAAAGAGCATCTTGGATAGAAATTCATGTACTCATGCCAGATAAAAAAAATTCTCTGCTCCGTGGCCTCTATAACATCACTATTTCCTGGTTCTCTTTCATCCCAAACGTTCTTTTTCTTTTGCAATGGTTTTCCTTTACTCTGATCTACAAACTTTGGGGTTTACCAGTGTTATCTCTCTGATATTTTGTTGTAGTATACCCTGAATCTGAAATATTTCATCCCTGCCCAGGTCTTTTATTACCAATTACACACCAAACCTTCAATAATCTTTACTTCCAGTTTAGACATTAAAATGTCTAAAGGAGAATCATACTGTCTTCCTCCCAATCCTGTTCTTCCTTAAAATGATTTGATTAAGGAGGCATTAGAAGAAAGTATCAGGTATATTGTCACCATCTCTGAAATGCTAAACAGATTAAGAAAAAATTTACTAAGACTTGCACCCTTTTGTGTTTCCACAGTAAATCTGAGTTTATAGAAATAGTTAATGGGACATATTACCAAAGTGCTCTAATATTAGTGAACAAATTATAGATTTCTATTAGTTTAACAAAATATGCATTAAGAAAACGGGACCAGCAGGTGGCATGGTGGTTAAGGTACTGGACTCCCAGGCCTGACAGCTTGAAAATCATGCCAGGCACGTGTGTGCTTGTATCTAAAATCCCAGGAAGAGAATGGCAGAGAAGGGTCCGGTCGTGGCCATCTCTCCATGGGGTAGTTTCTCACTTTCCCTTTCACTGTCTCTCTCCAGTGAGTGCATTTTCCTATACAAAAACCTTTAAAAAAAAAAAAAAAAGTAGAAGAAAATGAGAGCTAGGACTCTAGCCTAATGGTTAAGGGTACTGGAGTCCACATGGCTGACCAAGATTTAAGTCTTGACCTCAATGGCTTTGAAAAACACACTGGGTGCAAATGTGTGCTTGCCCAAAGTCCTGGCTGGATGGAAAAATGGAGCAGAAAAGGACTGCAGAGTGACCACACCCCACAGGGGAAGGCGGGGGGCGGGGGCGGGGGGTCAGCACTGAGGTATTTTCACCCATCTTCTGCCCTCTCTCTAGCAAGTACACATAAACTCGGACAGTTAAGAAAAAAAATGAAAGTAGAAAACCAGTGGCATGCTGCTGTGCAATACTGAGTCACATGCGAGGCCCAGGTTCAGATCTTGAATCAACTCAAATATGCAAGGTATGCTTGTGTGCACTCATGGTCCTACTTGCCTGAGGGGGTGGTGGGAGGGCTAAAAAGTATAAAATATTGCCATGAGTCTCTGTCTGTCTGCCTCCAACCCCTTCTTCTCATGAAATAAACTAATTTTTTAAAAAGTAGAATATAAAATTGGCTATTAAAAATTGATTTAGCAGGGCCAGCAGGTGGTGTGGTGGTTGGGGCACTGGACTCTCGTATGGTGAACTGCAGTTCAAATCCCTAACCTGGGGGCTTGGTTTCTCATTGTCCCTTCTCTCTCTGTCTCTCTGGTCATACTGAGAACTAATAAAAAAATTAAATAAGCCTTAAATTTTTTTTGAGGTTTTTGCTATAGAGCACATGTGCTCGCCAGAAAGACAGAGACAGAGAGATAGAATGCGAGAAATCACCCCCGGGTGGATGGCCACACCGCAATTCCTTCTCCTCCATTCTCACCTCGGGATCTTGGGCACGCACGCACACATGCCCCGCATGAGTTTAAGCCACCAGGTCCAGGACTCAAACCGTGGTTGGCTACCTGGGAGTTCAGTGACGTAGCCATTACGCTAACTGCTGTTCTCACATGGGGCTAGTCTGTAGTACAGTGGTTAAGTGCATACATCGAAAACTGGATCCCACGTGGCTGGCCAAGACTTGGGCTGTGGCAGAATGAAGAGCCCACTGGGCATGCACACACATGTATGTCTCCTAATGGGAGACAGAAATGGAGGAAAAAGACTGAGGTGTGACCATACCCTCTTTGGGAGTGCTTTCTCTCTGACACTCTTTGTTTCATTCTGGTGAGAGCAAACTCCCTCTAGAAATATAAAAAAATAAATATATAAATAAATCTAGAGTATGTTTTGTTCATAGACATAAAAAAAAAAAAAAAAACAGCTAGGTATAGGGGATAAGTTCAAGAATTTGCTAACACCCCAGGGAGACTTTCTGTAACAAAAATTTACCAAATATTTCAAAAAGATAGAAGAGAAGATTTTACAAGTTCCCAACCCATGAGCCAGCAGGTGGCATGGTGGTTAAGGCACTAAACTCCACATGGCCTACTGCAGTTTGAGTCCTGGACCTGGTGATTTGTTTTCTCTAGAGGGGATAAGTTCAAGAATTTGCTAACACCCCAGGGAGACTTTCTGTAACAAAAATTTACCAAATATTTCAAAAAGATAGAAGAGAAGATTTTACAAGTTCCCAACCCATGAGCCAGCAGGTGGCATGGTGGTTAAGGCACTAAACTCCACATGGCCTACTGCAGTTTGAGTCCTGGACCTGGTGATTTGTTTTCTCACTTTCTCTATCTCTCTGGTGAGTGGGCATGCCCTACAGAAAATTAAAAACTAATATTAGCAATAAAATTAATTGTTAAAAATTAAAAAAAGTTCCCCACCCAAAGAAATCATATGTTGAGGTGATAGATATGTGATCATTAGATATATGTACTGAAATACCACCATACCCCATAAATATGTACAATTATTTGTCAATTTAGCTGAATAATAAAAACTTTAAAAACCCAAATGTACAATATCATTTATTTATGTATTTATAAACTGAAAGCATATGACTGATTCAATCTAATACAATGTCTTCAAGATTCTTTCAATATCATGCGCTTTAGACAACCAATTAGCTTGTATGCCAGTAGCCACACTAAAATAAAAAGTACAGTTTTTACTTTTTATTAAACTTATGGTTTCATGCTTTTACTTTCAGTTATGTTATAATAATTTACAATAGTTCTAAAACTCATCTCAACTTAAAAGCCATGAAGCCAGCTGATGGCATGGTGGTTAAGGTGGTGGGATCCCAGGTGGCTAGATGAATAGTTTGACTCCTGAACTAGAACCTGAAAAACATACCAGATGCATATACGTGCATATCCAAAATTCCAAAGGGGGGGAGAAATGGAGGAGAAGGGATTATGGCATGACTATGCCTCACAGTGGGTGCTTTCTCACTTTTTCCTCACTCTGTGCCTCTCTCCTGCAGGTACAAGTGCCCTCTGACAAAAAAACAAAAACCCAAAAGTCGTAAGGTACGTTGGAACACAAAAGTCTCGCATTTCACTCCACTGCAAGAAAAAAGATGATCTATCCATGAAATATAAAACCCCACACCTGTACTGCTAATAAAAACCTGTGTTGGGCATGGTGTACTACTTTGCAGTGCTGGAGCCACCAGACCAGGATTCCGACTCTGGGTTGACCTGAAACAAGCTAGATGAATTCACATGTGTCTATGATCTTAAATGGCTGGAAGGCTGGAGTGGGGCTGGAGATGGAGGGCGGGTGGCGGTTGTGGCATGTTGAGCCATGATGGAAGTGACTGTTTCCTTCACTCCCTTCCTCCCTCCCTTCTGCTCTCTTGGTCAAATGAATAAACTTTAAAAAAAAAAAAAAGAAAGAAAGAAAAATGAAAAACAAATAAAGCTGTATTAAGCAGAATGTTTCTGTTAACACTCACCACTTCTTTATTATTTTTATTATAAAATAACAGGAATCATGAGGCTGGAGGGTAGTGTGGTGGTTAAGTGTGCTGGCATTCCCACATGACTAACTGCATTTCGAGTCCTAGACCTGGTAGCTTTGCTTTCTCACTTTCTCTCTCTCTTCCCCTCTCTGGTCAAATTATAATAAATAAATAAAGTTAAATAAAATATTTCTAAAAAAAAAAAACAGGAATCAAACTTTTGAAAAGGTATAGGAGAAATGCTTAAAATTTAGAACATTCTTCCTGCTTAATTAGGAAGAGTCTACCACTCTATGTTGCTAGAAACTAAATTAAAAGATACTTAGACAGTGGGGCCAGCAGGTGGTATGGTGGGTAGGGCACTGGACTCCCACATGGCCGACGGCAGTTCAAATCTCAGAACTGGAAGCTTGCTTTCTCGCTTTCCCTCACTCTCTTGTTCTGTCCCCTCTCTGGTCAAATTAAAAAAAAAAAAAAAAAAAAAAAGTTAGGGAATAGCAGTTA